GAAAGTCTCCATCTCCCGATTCCTGCCGTACCAAGGGGATACAGCTCGTCTTGAACACATGGTTAGTTCTGCGAGAGAGGAGTCTGTGTTCCAGCTACTCCTGCCAGTTCACCCTGTCCTGTCTCTAGCTAACCAGATGTACCTCTGACACCATCTGTAACCAGCAGATACATATTCTTTATATATCTATCATAAGCGTGAGCAAGTGGCACATTGCTCAGCTGAACACTGTTTGTCATTCCCTTTGATGTAGTGTTCATCTAGCTGGCCGGAGCTGACTACCGAAACTGCTACCAAAGAGCAAAGACGCCCGAACCTTTTATGCACAATAAAAGAATTAAAAAATAATAATAAGCTGGGTGAAAAAGGCCGCCTGGTTCTGAAGTATTGATGAAGCCATTTTCTTCTAGCATTTTAATAGTAAGCAGTACACGTTTAAAAGACTCCTGTAACTGTGTTTTGTTGCTGGGCCTGAAATGCTAATGCTTTGAACGCTTTCTTGGCGCTCGAGAAATGCATGTGCTGTTGTTAACTTTACTTGGCTTTCCTGACACTTTTCACAAATACTTGCCTGGTGCATCGGCGCTCCCTATGCAAGCTTCAGTGTCTGGGCTGGCAACTGGTGCCAGTACCAAGGGTCAGTAGCAAACATGCAGGTCTCCCGTGCCTGGGCCGGAGTACTCTCTGCACGCAGACCTCAGTGCTGCCAAGGGCGAGGTGCAGGGTGTGGGGCAAGCAGCCCGGTGACCACCAGCCCAGAGCTTTGCACCTCCAAGGTGGCTCTGCAGTTACCAGGACGCTGGCTGACTCATCACCCAGGACGACAGTGATTGCGTTCCAGGATTGAATCTTGGATGCCAAGGCTTGGTATAAAACCAGACATGGAAGGAATTCCGATGTTTCTTTATCATTTGTGAGTCTGCGGTATCTTGCACATTTTGAAGGCGGCTCCCCGCTTAGGTTGGCAGTTTGGCCTATGTCATACACTTAAACTATCACAGTATGTTGCAACCATAGGCGGCCTCTAGGCAGTCTAATTAAAGCTCTAGCATTCATTAAGAGAAAACCTTAGGCATTATTTACCAAGTTTAGATTAGTATGGCATTTGAAAAAGCTGTGTGATAACTTGTGATACTGAATGTAATGGTTATCTACAGGAATTCCCCACATTTCTCTTAAATCCAGATACTACACAGAATGGAATCCCTGCAAGATGCATTTTTTGCATATTAATGGTGGGTGAACTTCTTTTCATAAACCTTTTGTTTTCTCCATGAAAGGTACATGCCAATGGTTTGTTATATCCAGAGATGGAGCGCTTTCAGAGCACAGCTTAACAGTCTGGTGATAGCATTTGGAGAAAGAAAAATTTATCTATTTCAATAAAATCTACAGCCTTGCAATCCACTACACATTAACGTAATTTTCTGCATTTGTTCCTCTACACTGGTGCAGAAAATGCACTGCAGGTCGCAGCCATGGTGGGTTGTTTGCCAGGCAGAAGGCTGAGGAGCGCTGGTCTCTTACCAGCCAGCACCACTGCAAAGACGGAGCATTAGTGAGAGGCCTGGAAAAGTTAACCGGACGCTCTGCCTAAAGGCGGGATATCCAGGAAGACCATTAATGTATTTCTATTATGAAACATCACATCTGAAAAATACTACAATCCCACGAATAAGGTGGAAACCTCCACCTATTCTAGTAGAGGTGACTCGAGTTGTGCACGACGGGCAGAGCTCTGCAGCTCGGGATGTGAGCTGCCAAGCGATTCTCCACGTCCCGTCTGGCAGGGAAGAAGCCACGGGGTTTCCTGCTTTTGTCTGGTTCCAGGCTGTGGATTCTCACTTACGCAGGCACCGCTGGGGGCTCAGTGCATGCGGCGGTGGGTAGAAGATCATCAACACACACACGGTTCATCCTAGCTGCTAGTTTTTTCTGAACAGTTACAACTCCAGTGTTGCTCTTAGCTAACAAAGCAGCCCTTCTGTGTCTGATTGCTCACATCTGTGAAATCAAAGAGTAGGCTGTTGGTGGCGTTAGCAAATGCCTCTTTAAAAGCCAAATCAAAAGTTCAAATGTCCATAGCCAGGGAGCAGCATTCGAAATGAATCTGATTGCAATTGGCCCCTGCAGCAGAGGAGCGGTGCGCTCTTGTGCCTGAGAGCGATGCCGTGTCCTGATGGTTTGGGTGTGTGGACGTCATCTGAGACAGGGCACAATGTACACGGTCTCCGAGGGAGAGAATAGGAATATAGGTTAAAACTGCCATGTAACAGCCATCGTAAACTCAAACCAGTGGGGCTTCAGGCTCACTGAGAGTGGTTCTACAATAGCCGGGTTCAGAGGAGGAGCATAAAACCGTCCGTTTCAGGGAATGCTTAAAACCAGATCAAACTGTTTTTTAAACATATGCTTCTTTATGTAAGTATTTAATTAAGAAATAATAGTGGGGTACGTTGTGTCTTAGAGACAGATTAGTGAACAGAAGTGACTTGGTATCATGCTTTGTCTGTGAGTGGATTTGTTGCCGTCGCCTCTCGAGCACCAACCCAACTCACCGACTCTGCCAGGCAGGGCTTTGTGTTCGGCGTGCCACGTGTCTCCTCTCAAGCGCAGGGGTTTAGGGCTGCTCAGTTAAACGCTTCCAGTGCCGGCTCTAGCGGGCTGCTCGCGGCTGCTGCAGGGTCCTGTCCCCCCTGCGCCTAGAGAGCCAAGCAGCTTTCGCCGAGGTTCTGCCCTTAGCGCTTCCTGGTGGTTTAGTGAGCTGGTGATTACCCGCATCTGCAGGTGGGTCTGGTCTTTGTTTCTTTAGTTTTGTGAAATGGCTTCAAGCATGGTGGTGGCAGTGAGTTTGGCTGCTCTTGCTTGTGTCTGGGATGCTCAGAGAACGGGTTCCCCAGGGGGGAGCTTAAATACAGAGTACTCTGTAACCTCTTTGCAACCCCATACCATGTTGTCTTGAAGAACTATTTGGAACTATTAACAACTGACTGGTCTCTCCTATTGTTCAGGACTAGAAAACAGTGTTTCTAATCTTTTTGCCATTAATTATCCTAGATTGGTTGTCTCAGATATGCTTGTGGATGCTGCAGTCATTCTTCTAATTGTGGTGAGTAAATATGGTCTTCTGTTGCTTGTTTTTTCCCCTTTTCGTCCCAAATAATCAGAGGGATAGATGGGTTTTACAGAAGCAGCTCAATTCATGTTTGCTTAGAATTTCCATCCAAACACACCAATGCTTTTAAATCCAGAAGCAGGCAGATGAGACCGTGACACGCACCGGCGCTGACCCTACCCCGATGGAGGGCTTTCCAGCATTGGATCAAAAGCTGCTTATTCAGCGCCCTCTATTTCAGCAAGGCATGAGAAAAAGTGTCCAGCTGCACTGAGAGAGTTTAGAAGTAGACATCTTTGAGTCATTTATGAACCAGTGGTATAGGAGTTAAAATCCTGGTGATGTCTTGGTTACAGTTCAGGCTATTGATGGGGATGAGTTTCTTTGGCAAAGGTAGGAAGAGGAGAGGTGTCTTTGTCGTGCCCCGCCGTGTTGGTCCTAAGTTAGCTCAGGCTGGAAGGCATCTCTGGAGTTCCCCTGCACAGTGACCTGCTCGAAGCTGGGCTTTCTTCAGCGTTAGATTCTTCTCTCTTTTGAATCTGTGATACGTTCCCACGCTTACTCATGAACTGAGAGATTCCAAATGAGATCAGGAGTGAAGACATCTTTATCGTGTCAGATAGCCAGCGATTCCCCACATTTAGGTAAAATTCCCTGCTTGTAGACTCATTTTCTGAAGAATTTTCTGTTTCCATTTCTGGGGTGGATTCGCGTTGGTGAGTGCTGTGCTTTGGCTGCGATAGCGGC